AACGCTGTATATGATCTTGGATACACTCTCCATTTAGACATACATAATTGTTTAGCTTGTTCACCCATCTATCCGTCCCTATACCCATATTTGCTTTCAAGACCATCATTTTTAAACATGCTAATTTCAACGTGATGGAGAAATACCCAGATGGAGAAGTCCACCTAGCACGTAGCTAGAGATGCAAAACTAAAACACTTAAGATAGGTACAGATTGGGGATCCATGAGATATGTGAAGTTTACAATGCAGAGAAAGAAAAGCGGAGATCTCTTTTGTAGTGCCTGCTCATCCAGGCCTCCTCTAAAGGGAGTGGCCTGCTCATAGTCCTTGCTAAAGGGCAGGCACAAACCGCCACATCCCTAAGCCCTTAGCTGATTAGATTCAATGCAATAGTCAACCCATAGGGTGGCTGGCCAATGCCTTATGTTGTCTACGCATAAGCATAAACCAAAACCAAGCCAAAGCTACTACTGCCATCAAGTCAATTCTGACTCATAGTGACCCCCAGTGGGTTTCTGAAGTGGTAAATCTTTATGGAAGTAGATTGCCCCATCTTCTTTTTGTGGAGCAGCTGGTGAGTTTGAACCACCAAACTTCTGGTTAGCAGTGAAATGCCTCAGGCACTGGGCCACCAGAGCTCCTCCAATAAGCATTATAAAAAGTAAATAAACAAATTCTAAAAGCCACATTAAAAAAAATAATATTATTATGTAATCAACAGTCACCTGAAGAACTCTCATTCTGTTTTCATGTGCATGTTAGCTCCTAATCACATCAGAATTTTCTCAAGGGTAAATAAAATAGCTTCTTTTCATATATTCCATGGTGCTATGGGCACATAATAGCAATGGAGTATAAGAATCTGAATTGGGGTTTAAAATATCTGGGTTCTAGTCCCTGCTCTGCCAAAGTTTTCTCCTTTGCAAATATGGAAGCTATACTAGATGATTCCTCGAAGGCTCCTCCAAACTCCAAAACCTAGGATTCTATAGTTGACTAGTATACATTCTATATTCTATATATACAACCAACATCAAAGCAGATAAAAGGTGTGCCATATATGATACAAGGGATATATGTGTGTCATCTAATCTGTCAAAATTTCCATCAGACATTGACATTTCTAGTATATCAGATCATTGGAAATATCAGTAAATCTTTTACCTTTCTACGCTAACTCCTTTAACAGCTCTGTCAAGCAAAGGTTGTCATGTGAGCTTCAAGAAGAATGAGTTATAAAATTATTGTAACCTAAAACCTGCTCAGCACAGGCACACATGCCTCTTCCCTCCCCACAAATCTGTTGGTCACATTTCTTTGGCTTATCATGTGCCTTCTTGCACCACCATCACCCTCAGTGTTAAAACAATTTATGTGCAAGACATTGTGTTATATACTGGGAATACAAAAAGACTTAAGTCTCTTGGGAGCTTATAAAATAATTGGGGAGACAGAAACATAGCAAAAGAAGTTAAAGAGCAGTATAAAGAAGGATGTTCTAAATGCCAAATAAATGCTTTACCTCTGCTCCTATTCAGTATGACCTTCTCCCAACTGGCAAGGATTAAATCTATTTGTGTGACTTTGCAAAGCAAAGACCTGGAGGAGCTTTAGAATTAGGGAAAAGGTGAAATGAGACAGAAAGAAAGTATCCTTTGTGAGGCTAATAGAGGGAGCTCTGGTGGGGTAGTGCCTAAGGCATCTGACTGCTAACCAGAAGGCTGACTGGTGGTTCAAACCCACCTGTCACTCCTCAGAAAGAAGGCTGGGCAATCTACTTCCATAGAGATACTGCCTCAGAAACTCAAGGAGGGGTCACTATGAGTTGGAACCGACTTGAGGGGAGGGAGTTTGGTTTTTTTTTTTATTTTTAATTTTTTTATTGAGGCTAATAGAAGTCTATATTCTGGTTAGAATTTACAGGCCACAGGAAATATATTTGTTATATGGCAACATGAAACTTCTCTGGTTAGGCTTAGATAACAGACCTCTGAGAATACACAGTGAAACCTGTGAAAGCCAGAAGTCAATGCAACGGCCTTGTTTTCCACCTTTGACAGGGTACAGTCACTATTTTTCCATCACCATTTAGTTGAAAATATTTTGAGTTTTCCTTCTCTGGTAGGTTTCCACATTACACTGGTTCCAGCTTTTGCAGATTTTACTGTACTGTATGTCAAATAACAGAAAAATGCCATGTTGCATTTATATCAAGTTTACAGTTTGCAAAGTGCTTCTAGATATCTTCCTAACTACACGAGGTGAACAAGACTATAATTATTCTATTTCTTTCTTAGATGAAGAAACTAAAGCACAGCAGTAAAGCGACCAGGAAAAAGCCATATTACCCAGAAAGAGGTAGAAGAGAACCCAAGTCTTCTGAATTCAGGTAAAGAGCTTTTTCCATCAATTTATTATATAAGTAAAATACCGTAGTGAAACAGAAATCAGAAATTATAGGTCAATACAGAAGCTAGGCAAGGAGAGTAAGTGTTAAGAGTTTATCAGTGTTTTTAGCACTGCCACTGAAGATACACACTTCCTGCATATTCTACAAAAGTATGTATTCAACAAGGTAAAGAAGGTTAATCCACTGGGTTCTACTGAGGATCTAAACAACCTTTAAAATCAACTTATTTCTTTACTCTTTCATTTAATAATGATGAAACCAAACCAAACCAAACTCACTGCCGTTGAGTTGGACCCATCTCACAGCGACCCTTCCTTGGGTTTCCGAAGCGATATCACTACGGAAGTAGATTGCCCAACCTTCCTTCCGAGGAGTTGCTGGTGGCTTTGAACTGCCAACCTTCTCAGCAGTCAAATGCCTTAGGCATTACACCACCAGAGCTCCAATAATGACTAAAGAATTTTTAACTAAGTTCCTCAGTCACTTCTATTTCAGGAATGAGTCTTCTTGTATATGGGAAAAGAAGATACCAGTGAGAAGCTGATCCATAATAGCAAATGTATAAGGATAAGTTTTGGCTCAAAAATGGTCTCAAGGGTATTTATAAGCTAATAATCTCCAGAACTGACAGCTAAGGGGTGAATAATATGACCAGCAAGGTTCATGGAACCTCTATGAGGCTCCCAATCCCAAAAAGCAGCTACCTGTCCACATTCTCGACCCTGATCCCATACCATCTTACATGATTACTGAATGGCCCTATATATTTTTTATTTTTTGAGCTTTGGTGGCATAGCAGTTAAGGCATTTAGCTGCTAACCAAAAAAACTGGCAGCACAAACCTACCAGCTGCTCCACAGGAGAAAGATGAAGCAATCTGCTTCTGTAAAGATTTATAGCCTCAGAAACCATATGGGGCAGTTCTACTCTGTCCTATAAGGTTGCTACAAGTTGTGACTTGATGGCAAACCAAAGAAACCAAACTCACTGCCGTAAAGTCAATTCCAAGTCATAGTGACCCCTCCTTGGATTTACAAGGTGGTATCTCTACAGAAGCAGATTGCCCAGTCTTCCTTCCTAATAGTGGCTGGTGGGTTTGAACCGCCAGCCTTCTGGTTAGCAATCAAATACTGGCAGTGGGTTTTATAAACTTTTTTAAATTTGAAGGCAAAAGTGATACTCATGCTGCTCACAAAAAAGAGGAAATGTATAAATTAATTTTGTTTTTTATTTATAATACATGAATACAGAATCTGGAATCTGACATTTAAATCAGAAATGTTTATTTTACAAATTACTATACCTTGGGCAGCTTGTAGCTGGGAAGAACAGCTCAGAGGTCTGATAACTGGAAAACAAAATAAAGTCTTTCACAAAAAAAAATATAAAGTTACATAAGATGCTCATAAATACAAATCTTATCTTAAAAAAAAGAAAGGAACATTTAAACTTACAAAATCTGAGGGCCCATTTTGATGTACTGTGAAGATTTTTAAAAGTGCAAGTCAAAATGGAAGTCATTCTGAAATCTAAAAAGAGAAGAACAAATATATATTCTGGGTTATTTAAGCATTTTATAGCTTATACTGTAGTCTGAAAGTCCCTGAGTCGCATAAACAGTGTGCTCTCAGTACTAACCTTAAGGCTGGTGGTACAACCCAGTGGTGCAACAGCAGAAAGGCCTGGTGATGTGTTTTCATAAAGATTTCAGCAATGAAAATCCTATGGATTTTTTATCACTGTAATACACAGGGTCTCCATGAGTCCAAATCCACTCAACAGCAATGGTTTTGTTTTGTTTTTTTCATTATTGTAGTCTATAATCTCCAATAATCTCATTTGTGGCTATTATCCAAAAACTAAACCAAACTCACTGCCATCGAGTTGATTCAGACTCATAGCGAACCCCTTCGGGTTTCCAACGTGGTAAATCTTTATGCAAATAGATTGCCCAGTCTTCCTCCTGCGGAGTGGCCAGTGGGTTTGAACTGCTAACCTTCCGGTTAGCAATCAAATGCCTTAGGCACTATGCCACCAGAGCTCTTTGTGGCTATTATAAACACTATAAAATGTAGCCTATTACCAACCATCCTTCCCCTAATAACATTATAATAGTTACACTGGCATAGCTTTTACATTGCGAAAACCATTATTCTAAGCATTAACTCACCGAATCCTCATGCCAACTCAGTAAGTATACATTATTATTCTACCCTTTGTAAGACATAAGGAAACTAAGGCACAAAGGGGTTGAGTGACTTGCCCAAAGATTCACAGCTAGAATTTGAACCTAAGCAGTCTAGCTTCAGAGTTTGTGCCTTTCACCTCTTAGACAAAGGGGCAGAGAGACAGCTTGGCATAATTGGCATAATCATGAAACCAGTAATGCTAATTTCCTGATTCAGAAGGTTGTATCATGATGATGAGGAGCTCTGGTGGTGTAGTGGTTTAAAGCATTTGGCTGCTAACCAAAGGGTCAGTGGTTCAAATCTATAAGCCACTCTGTGGAAGGAGGATGAGTTTGTCAGTTCCGTAAGATTTATAGCCTGGAAACCCTATGGGACAGTTCTATTGTCCTACAGACACTGAGTCAGAACCAACTCAATGGCAGTGAGTTTGGTTTGGCTCGGTCATTAAACATTCAGCCCCTAACCACAAGGTCATCAGTTCAAACCCACAGGAGAAAGGATGTGGCAATCTGCTTCCATACAGATTGACTGCCTTGGAAACCTTATGAGACAGTTCTACCCTGAACTACAGGGTCGTTGTGAGTCAGAATCAACTCAATACTAATGGGTATTGTGATTATGAGAAGCCTGGGTGACACAGTAGTTAAGATCTGAGTTGCTAACCAAAAGGTTGGCAGTTTGAACCCACTAGCCGCTCTTTGGTTTAGCTGCTCTGTGGGAGAAAAATGTGGCAATCTGCTTCCTTAAAGATTAAGCCTAACCAAACTCATGTCTTTTGAACTGATTCCAACTCACAGTGACCCTATAGGATTTGGAATGGACTGATGGTAACTAACAACAACATTGTGATTATGTAGAATGAATTATGGAGTGTTTGTATTTGAGGGAAATACATATTAAAGTACTCAGGGATGGTGATACATCATGTCAACAACTTGCTTTGAACTGGTACACGTGAAAAAAAATGCTTCATACTGCACTTGCAACTTTTTTATAAGTTTGCTATTGTTTCAAAATAATTTTAAAATTTTAAAAGCCACATATAAAAACCAATATATTGAAAATATAAATAAAACTACTCTCCTTTAAAAAAAATGGGGGGCCCTAAAGACCTAATAATGAGTTCCCACAAATCAGTAAGGAGGGGGGAAGAAAAGAGTAGATAAATGAGCAAAGGATATGAACAGACATTCACAGAAAAGGAAATATAAGTGGCTTTCATTTGCATACAAGGGACTTGACCTCTTTCAGCATTATATGTAACAGCAAATATTAGAACAATCAAAAATAGGGAATTAGTCAAGTAAATCATGTTACAATTACCCAATGAAATAAAAGATAAGGAAATAATTATATACCAATATAGTACAAAACAACATATTAAGCCATATTAAGTAAAAAAAAAAAAGTAGATTGCAAAATAGTGTGTACAGTATGTTATCATTTGTGTTAAAAACAAAAATCAATATATACTTTTCCATATATATATATATATATATAGGAGCTCTGGTGGCATAGTGCTTAAGGCATTTGACTGCTAACCAGAAGGCTGGAGGTTCAAACCTACCAGCCACTCCTCAGAAGGAAGATTGGGCAATCTACTTCCGTAACGATACTGCCTCAGAAACCTAAGGAGGGGTTGCTATGAGTCAGTGTACAGTATGTTATTATTTGGATTAAAAACAAAAAATAATATAAACATTTCCATACACACACATATATATACAAACATATACACCCGGATGCATAAACATTAAAGGGAATAGTCAACTGGAAGAGAAATGAATTAGAGAACTGAACTAGGGGAAGGAGGTGGAGAAGATTTTTCATTGTACACCTTTTAAAATTTTTTAAATTTGAAAAGGTTTTAACTTTAAGAAGAAAAGATAAGAATAAATTTGCAAGATTTGCCTGCAAAGGGCAGTGCTGACACCCTGTATAGTCTCTTCCCATGTTGTACCCCTGGTGGTCTACGAAACCAAAAGAATTAATCAGAAGTGATGGTGTGTCACTTCTAAGATTAGGCATAGACACTGCAGCTGTTTTGGTCTCACTGTCAGATCAGCCAGCTACCACGTCACGAGCAGTCCCATAAAGAGGTCCACATGGTGAGGAACTGAAGCATCCTGCCAACAGTCATGCAAGTGAGCTTGGCAGCACCTGTAGCCCAGCCAAGCTTTCAGATGACTACAGCCCTGGCCAACATTCTGACTGCAACCTCATGAAAAGTGAGGACAATCCAGCATGTCATCCTCAGATTCCTTACCCTCAGAAACTTTGTGAGCTGATAAATATGTTTTGCATTAAGCTATGTTTTGGGGTAATTTGCTACATAGCAATAAATTTCTAATACAAAGGACTTAAGGTTTAACTATTCCAGGGTCTTATAGATTAAAAGAATGGCCTATAGTTTCCTAAAAGAAAATTATGATCTAAACATGTACGAGATGGAATGTAAACTCTAGGCTCATCAACCTAAGGAGCATTCAAGGGATTCTGGCCAAAGAGATACAATGAGGCCCATGAGATGAGCACCACTGTTTCCAGAAGATAATAATGATGCCACATGGGTCTGGGATAAGACTCCCTTAAGTAAAGTGCATTTTGAAATAAAATTTGTGAAACTAGTTGAGAAAATTTTGAAAAAGGAAAAGGGAAACCTTGGTCTAATAGATATTGAAATTTTCTATAAAGTACCAGTAATTAAAACAGTACAGTTTTGGCATAGGAATAAATGAAATTGGTCAACAAAAGAAGATACAGCAAGTTCAGAAGCATAGCTACACATATGAAAACTTAATAGAAGAAAAATGAGTTAGTCAATAAACTGGGAAAATGAAAAAACATTTCGAAAAAAATAGGTCTGTAACTCACACCACCATATGCACAAATAAATTACATGTGGATTAAACATGTAAGGATATTTTTTAAACTATAAAAATACTAGAAGAAAATATCACAGAATATTTTTATAATCTTGGATGGGGAAGGGCTTCTATCACGTGGCACAAAATCCAGAAGCCGTATTGGAAAACAACTAGCAGATCTGATGACATAAATATTTTAATTATCTACACAGCAAAAGATACTATATTAAGTTAAAAGGCAAATAATAGATTTAAAAAAAACCACTGCCAATGAGTCGGATCTGACTCATAACGACCCCTTCTTGGGTTTCCGAGGTGGTATCACTACAGAAGTAGATTGCCCAACCTTCCTTCCAAGGAGTGGCTAGTGGGTTTGAACTGCCAGCCTTCTGGTTAATAGTCAAATGCCTTAGGCACTAGACCACCAGAGCTGAAAATATTTGCAACGTTAAAACAGACAAAGGGTTAGTACTCATATTCCACAAAAAACTTCTACAAATTATAGGAAAATGAGAAACAATCTATAATGGAAACTGGGCTTATCACTCCAATATCCATTTCACCTCTTGTGTAATTACCATACAGTTTACACAGGACTGAACTCAGCCCCAGGAGCTCTGGTGGTGTAGTGCCTAAGGCACTTGACTGCTAACCAGAAGGCTGGTGGTTCAAACCCACCAGCCACTCCTCAGAAGGGAGATGGGGCAATCTACTTTCATAGTGATACCGCCTTGGAAACCCAAGGAGGGGTCACTATGAGTTGGGTCTGACTCAACAGCACATAACGACAACAACAAACTCAGCCCAACTACAGGGTTAAACCAATCAGACTAATCTCATTCTTTTGCCAAGATTATGCTTCAGATAACAATGCTTAAACCAATCAGTGCATGGTATTCCCTTGACTACCTGTGTCTTGGTTCTCTAGTGCTGCTATAACAGAATACCACAAGCAGACGGCTTTAAGAAACAGGAATTTATTCTCTTACAGTTTAGGAGGCTAGAAGTCTGAATTCAGACCCAGCTCTAGGGACCAGATGAAAGCTCCTCAACCTTGGGCTTCAACTGTGTCTCTTGTTCCAGGCCCACTGGAGCAGGAGGGTTCTCATAACTCATGCAGCTGCTGAGGTTGACGAACCCAAAGTCAGCAAGTAGAATGGCACAATCCCAAAATCAACAGGTAATACATCAGGCCACTGGTTCAAGTCCAGGAAATGGTGAGGCAGACTCAGCCAAATGCAGGATCCAAAGATGCCAAAAAGCTAAAGACCTTCCTGAAAACTTCTCCATATATACTAGAAGCAGGCCATACCCCAAAGGCAACTTCCTTTCAACTGATAAGGTGTTCATAGCAGATTTCACCATGGAGATGATTACAATCTCATCATGAGGAATAACTACATCAAGCTGCAAAGCCACTGAAAAACCACAGCCCAGACAAGTTGACATACAGCTTTAACTATCACA